CTCTTTGCCCTGTGGGGCTCCCCAGTTTTGGGGTGGTGCGTCCAGTCCTCTCCCCACCTGGCCCCTCCCTCACAACATTCCCAACATCCCAACGGCCCCCCCGAGACCCACTCGGCCACACCGGGGTGCTGCCGACCCCTCCCGGAGCCCCTCCCGCCTGCCAGCTCCCCCCTCCCAGCCCTTCCGGATCCATCATTCCCGAGGAGCGCAGGGAGGGAATGGGAAGAGTTTGTCTTTCAGCACCTTCTCATCGCAGGCAGGCGCGGGCTCTCCCTTGCCCCGAGCCCTGTCTGGGTCCCCTCCCTGTTCCCTGGCACCCAGTGGGTGCAGCGAGCGGCACCCCCAAACCCTCCCCTCCACGGCAAGCAGGGCTCCAGGGGGTCCCGCTGTGGGTTCACCCGTGCTGGTGGTGGGATGGGGCCACCCAAATGCCCGCTGGCACGGCCAAATAACCCCGGTGGCACCCGGTGCCCCAAGCCACGTCCAGCAAGGGTTAACCCCGGCTCCCAGCGGGGCCGGACCGCAAGGAAGCTGCTGCTGAGCCGGGAGGCCGCCTGTGCTCTGCTGTTCCTCACTCTGCCGGGCTCCCTTGGGCCTTGGCCTGCCCTTACCCCACCCCCTGCGCCCCCAGCCCGCCAGCCCCCCGTGCCGAGCCATGCCCGACCATTCCAGGGATGCAGTTTATGTAAGGAGTGCGTGTCCCCGGGACACACGCACGTTACATAAACCTGCACGGCACTGCTGCCATCAGCACCACCTCAGCGGGAGCCCAGGAACGGGGGGTCCACCCGGGGGAGCCCCCTGGACCCGCTCCCCCCTCTCCAGGGCCGGAGCGTCGCTCAGAAGGAGTGGGCTGTGGGAGCTGGGGGGTTTGGGGTCAGGGTGTCTCGGTGCTGGGGGGTCCCAGTGCTGGGAATGGTGCAGAGAGCACTCACAGGGTGCTGATTCTTGCCAGGGTATGGCTGGGATGGGTGTGATCCCGGTGGGCTGAAGGGATAGGTGTGATCCTGGTGGGCTGCAGGGCATGGCTGGGATGGGCATGATCCTGGTGGGCTGCAGGGATAGGTGTGATCCTGGTGGGCTGCAGGGTAGGGGGTGAGTGGCCCCCTGGCTACTCCTTCCTCATCCCTCGGCAGGGTGGCACCACAGGGATGCTGCCACAGCATCCTGGTGCTCCACAAAGCCCCCTCTGCACCTCTTGGAGCACATCCTGCTCTTCCCACCTGGGGGTCTGGAGAGAGGCAGAGGAGCTCTGCCTTCATCCCAGGCAGCCGGAGCAGGGATGGACAAGGCTCTGGATGAAGGTGGCAGCACTGCTTGAGGCCAGATCTCCACCATTTGGGCAAGGACACAGGGGTTGGGGGTCCCAGGGGTTCACATCCCATGGGGTGGCCACACGCTCCATGCCGGACACGCCACCACCAGTCCCACCCAGCACCAGGACAGGGGGAGTTTGGCCCATCCCGGTGTTTCTCCCATTCCAGTTTGGCCCGGAGCGGGGCGGCTGGAGCCTTTCAGCGGTGACGGGGCGGCACCGCCGAACAAAGGGCGCTTTCTTCACCCGCACGGGGCAGAGCACACCTGCCCTGCCTTGGCACCGCCGCCGGTGCCCCCGGGGCTGGGCGGCACCACCGGCACCACGCTGATTCCCGGTTCCCGGGCGTCAGCAGCCCCAGCATCCCTCCCTCCCACCCGCCCAGTCGCTGCCGGAGCCGGCGGAGGCTGCGGATCGCGGGGAGCGGAGCCACTGCCTCGTCCTGCTGTCATGCTAAGGGCTGCCTAGAGCCGGGGGAAGGTCCCACTCGTGCCGCTCCCTGGATACCCCTCTCCCTGAATCCCAGCCCAGCGGGACCCCCAGCTCGTAGGACAATAGGCAGGAGGAGCACGGAGCCCCCCAAGCCAATGGATCAAAAACTCCAGCTCCAGCATTCGGAGAAGAACATCCCCAGGGCTGCCCAGGCAGCTTTCTGCCTCCTCCAGATCCCGGAGCCGGACCCCTTCAGCCTGTGGGTTTAGGTGCTCCCACCCTCCCGGCCTTGCCTCTCTGGGATTTGGTGTCACCGGCGGAGACACCCGCTCGTCCTCGGCCGTGGGGTCCCTGATGGACCCTCCAGGTAGCTGTGGGGTGGAGGGGATGCTCGCCGAGCTGTGGGACGGGCTCCTTGTGCTCCCGATGGGATGAAGGACAGGGGACAACGTCACCCTGGGGATCCCGGGGGAGCTGGGGGGACCCCAGGGGTGGCCTGTGGTGGGACAGCCTTGGGGCACCGGGGGCAAGGCTGGGAGCAGAGTCCTGGAGCGGGGCTGGATGGGAGAGCCTGGTTGGGTGTCCAGGGTGGGTGTCCCCAGGCTGTCCCTGTGGCCCAGGGTGCCCCGGCTTGGACAGGGCACTCCGGGATGCTTCCCCAGCAGTGTGGGAATGGGGACTTTGCCCTCCCTTGGCAGAGGATGTGACGGGGACAGGCGGCTCTGGGGACACAAACTTCTGTCCCCACCCTGCTCCTGTCCCCACCTTGTTCCTGCCCTCATCCCACTCCTGTCCCCATCCCGGCCATCGGGGCGGCTCCGTGTGTGGGACTGGGAGCTGGGTGACCTCGTGCCGTTCCCCCTTGGGTGTCCCGGCTGCCGGGCAGGGAGGGGGACAGGGAGACAGGGGGACAGGGGGAAGGGATGCCACCGCCGGCTCGGCGAGCTCTGGCTCTGCACCCCGCGCCTGCGTGTGGCCCGGGTCCCGGAGGAGGGCTAATCCAGCAAAATCTCCCCAGGCATTTCTCCCAGGAGGGGCCCCTGGGAGCGGGGAGCTCCCCCCTCTCTGGAAGCCCTCCTGGGAAGCGCAGCCCAGCCCTGGCCGGAGGCAAATACCTGCGCGGGGCACGGCCTCCCCACGCTGGGTGCCAGCGGCCGGGCGCGGGGCCAGGCTGGGTGCGGAGGGACGGGTGGGCGCGAGGAACGTCCCGGCCGCCAGCCCCGCCGGGATGGGCGCAGGAGGGACCGGGCGGGACGGCGAATACACACTCTCCAGACATGTGCCCTCCCCTCCCGGGTCGTGCTTCCCGACGGATGCCGCGGGGCACGCGGGAGCCAGGGATCCCCCCGTTCGCCATGCCGGGGAGATTCCCGTCTAACAGGGCGCGGGGGAGCCGGGGGGTTGAAAGCAGCCCCCCCAGCGACACCCCCAGCCATCCCCAGTGCCTCGGTTTCCCCGCGGCGCTGCCCGGGCAGGGCTCGGTGCGGTGCCCCGCTGATGCCCCTCTCCCTGCCCGCAGGGTCCGGCCAGCCCGGGACGGCGCTGAGCACCACATGAGCGTGGGAGCAGCATGGCCAGCGACGCGAGGATGGGGGAGACCCCGCCGCGGTGGAGGAGAGCCCCGGACGCAGCGCAGGACTCCCGGGGGATGGAGAGCAGCGGGATGGTCTTATCCCGAAGCGCTGCCGCCGAGCTGGGACTCCCGGGCTACGCGGAGCCCGGCAAGCTGAGCTACGGGATGGAGAAGGGGTGTCCCTGGAGGGGCTCCGAGGGATGTTTGGGACCCGTCCGGGAGCTCGCCGGGGGCCGGCTGGGCTGTCCCTACCCCCCGGCCCCGCCGTGCCTGCGGGACGCCCTGTGCCGCCCCAAGGACGGGGCCGAGCTGCCCCCGCTGCTGCCCCCCAGGAACGGGCAGCCCAAGGCGGGCTGGGGGGAGCCCTGCAAGGACCACCCCGGGCCGCGGTGGGCCGAGGCCGTGCTGGCCCCCCTGGCCCTCTACAGCCACGCGTACCACCGCTACCCTCTGCCCGTGCCGGGGCTGGACCCTCAGCGCCCCGGCGCCGCCGGCAAGCCCCGAACGGCCGCGGGGGACGCGGCCGGAGACCCCCCGGCTTTCCGCCACTGCCCCTTCCTCGTGGAGGCCAAGCACAGCCCCTTCCTCCTGTCCTCGCTGCTGCCCGCCGGACCCCCGGCCGACCCCCCGTTCGGCGGCGCGGGGGCGGAGGCGCCGGGGGCGATGGGGGACGGGCGGTTCGCCGGCCTGGACTGGCGCCTGGGCTCCTACGCGCCCGCCTGGGGACAGCCCCTCTACCTGGGGGTCCCGCCGAGGTGCAAGGCGGCCCTGACCCCCTTCGACGACTGCTCCAGCTCAGGGAACAAGGTAGGACGCCCCGGAGAGCGGGGATGGTCGGGGGTCCCCCGGGTGGCAGCGGGCTCCAGCCTCGCCTGAACCCGGCCGGGAGCGGAGCGTTGCGAAAGGGCCGCGCTGGCACCCGCACACAGGGCAGGGCCGGGCAGTCCCCCCCCCGAGGGCAAGGCAGCCCCCCCCCTTTGTCCTACAGCTCGTCAGGGGGGTCCCAACCCCCCCCGAGCGACGGGGTGACACGCCCCTGGGGGGGGTGATGCTGCTCTGCTCCGCGGTGTCCCCGCGGGTGATGCCACCCCCGGGGCTGAGTCACGGCGGCAGGAGCCGGCGGGGGCGGCGGGAGGCAGCGCTGCCAGCCCTGGGTGCGCCCGTCGCACCCCGTGCCGCTGCGGCTCCCCATTCCTTTCCCACGCAGCCACGGGGGGCGGGGGGAGAACACACAGGCACCCCCATCACCCCCCAAACTGAGGCAGGGCCACGGGATGTTCCCCATCACCCCCCGCCCCGCAGCGACGCGGGTGACAGGCAGCGACAGGGACCCACAGCCGGGGGGTGACACCAAACCCCCCTCTGCTCCCTTTGCAGGAGTTTTACCCGAAGAAAGAACCCGGTTTCCACCCCCCCGCCAAGGACCACGCGGCGCCGCAGCAGCTGCTGGGCAAGGGCCAGGCAGGGCAGGACAGAGACGGGGAAGGGGAGCCGGCGGGGCCGGAGCCGCCGGGAGCCCCGTGGAGGGATGGCCGGGCCGGGGGCAGCTCGGCGGTGCCCCCTCCCCACGCCCACACGCCTCCCCCCAGCGCCAGCCACCCCCTCTTCCTCCTGCAGCCCGGCGCGGGGGGCTGCGGGGGTCCCTGGGTGGGCGCACGGTCCCACGGCGCCGATTTTTCCATGGAAACGGGGCCGGGGCGGCCCTCGGAGCCCAAAGATGAGCGCCTGGGGTACCAAAGCCTCCAGCCCGGCTCGCCGCCGGGATCCAGGGAGCCCGACCCGTCGCCTCTGCTCACGGACGGGCACTACCCACCGGCTCTCGCCAAGCCGGAGCCCCCCCCAGCCTGTCTCTGCCCCACCCCGGGCTGCGATGGGTGCCCGGGGGTGGGCTGCAGGGTGCCCAACCCCTTCGAGCCCGCGCTGGGCATGCCCGGGGGGCGTTTCCCGTGCCCCCCCAGCAACCACACCAAGCTGAAGAAGACGTGGCTGACGCGGCACTCGGAGCAGTCGCTGCCTCGCCTCAAGGCTGCCCGGCGGGACGGGGGTCCCGAGCCCCCCGGGGAGGGCAAACGCTCGGCCAAACGCCCCCATGGCACCGCCGAGGGACCCCGCGCTGCCAGCGAGGGCGCCGGGGCGGCCAAGAGGGGCACGAAGGCCACCGTGTGCCCTGGGGAGGGCACAGAGAGCCGAGGGGACCCCGAGGAGAGGAGGATGGAGCTGGGAGAGGGAGGTAAGGAAGGAGGGTGCCCGGTGGGGCTGGTGAGAGGGCGGTGGCATCACCCAATCCCAAAGGGAACTTTGCATCCCCGCTCCCGGCGCCCACAACACGAGCTGGGAACACGTGAGGGCCAGGAAGGCTGCTGTGCTGGGGCTTTCCCTGGCATGGCTTGAGGCTGGCAGTGATTCCCAGGGCTGGAATGGATGGAAACGCTCCTTTGGGGCAGCGTGGCACCCTCGGGTGGGATGCCGGGGGGGTGGAAATGTTCTTTTGGGGCAGCGTGGCACCCTCGGGTGGGATGCCCAGGGGGTGGAAGTACCGTCACTGGGTCAGTGACTCCCCGGGGAGGAGTTGGCATCTCAGCCCTGACCTCTGCAGAGCTCCAGCCCTACTTTCCAGCCCTACTTTGTGGCCCAGTTTCCAGCCCCCGCCACAGCGTGACAGTCACAGAGTCCCACAATCCTGGAGCAGCTTGGGTTGGAAGGGACCTTAAAGACCATCTTGTTCCAACCCCTTGCCATGGGCAGGGACACCTTCCACCAGACCAGGGTGCCCCAAGCCCCGTCCAACCTGGCCTTGGACTCTCCCAGTCCCCCTTGGCTGGTGTGGATGGGGCTCCACGGTGTCCCCAAGCACTCCCCGTGTCCCCCCAGAGCCGCTGAGCCGGCAGGAGCCGTGGTGCCTGCAGAGCCTGCCCTGCACTGCGCTGCCCCAGGGCATCCCCCGCTGCTGTGCCTGTGCCCCCCGGGCCACGGGGGACCCCCAGGGAGAGGAGGAGGAGGAGGAGGAGCCCCCCGAGAGCACCTGCAGGCTGCTGCACTTCCGCAGGTGAGCCCGGGGCTCCTGGGGAGCTCACGGGGTGAGGGGTTCATGGAGCATCCCCTCCCATCACCCCATTTCGGAGCATCCCCCTTCCGTTATCCCGCTTTTTAACGTCTCCTCTTTGGAGCATCCCCTCCCTTCACCCCTCTTAGCAGCCACCTCTCCTGCCACCCCACTTTGGGACACTCTCCCCATCATTCCCATCACTTGAGAGTGTCCTGTCTCGTCGCCTCACTCCAGAACACCCTCTCCCATCACCCTATTTCAGAGCGTCCCCACTTTACACCGTCCCCTCTCACCTCTTCACACTGTCCTCTCCTGTCACCCCACTTCAGAGAATCCCCTCCCACCTTTGAGGGCCCTCTCCCATCACCCCGATTTTTCAACCTCCCGTCTCATCACCCCGTTTCTGAGCCCCTCTCCCGCCCCTTCTCCCTGCAGGTTCGCCCTGGGGGACGACGGGGAGCTGAGCATCGATGGCCTCTGCACCCTGGGGGAGGCCGAGGGGGAGCTGCCGGAGGAACCCAGCCCCGAGCCGGGGGGCAGGAGTGTGGGGAGCAGCCTCTGCCTGGCCAAGTACCTCCTGGGGGTCCTGGGGGACCCCTTCTGCGACGCCGTCCGCAGGGACAGGGACACGTGGCCGGGAGCCCCCGGCGGGCCCGAGGGTAAGGGGGGACTGGGATGGGGGGACACTGGGGGGCACTGGGGGACACTGGGGAGGCTGAGGCTGTGCTTCCCCCCAGGGGTGACGGCCTGGAGACGGGGGGAAGGAGCCCCCCAGCTCTGCGACGCCTGCCAGCGCGGCTTCTTCAACTCCCACTGGAGCTGCGCCAGATGTGGCTTCCAGCTGTGCCCCGCCTGCCACCGCGGCAGGAGGGAGGCCGACGGCCCCGGTACGTGGGAACGGGGGTGGGTGGATGGAAAGGGGGTGCCAGCCCTTGGCAGGGGGGCTCGGTGGGGACGAACACACCCTCTCTCTGACGCAGAGGGTCCAGCACAGCCGCCCGAGTGCACCCCCGGGCCAGACCACCCCGTCACAGCCCTGGTCCCCACGCAGTTCGTCCCCACCTGTGGTGAGTGTGTCCCCCAGCCCCGGGACCCTCCCCATGCCCGCTGTAGGGAGGGGGCTGACACCCCTGTCCCCGTTGTCCCCAGTCCTGACCAGGCTCTGGAAGCTTCTGCACGAGGTCAGGGCCAAGTTTGGCATCGAGTCCCACTGTCCCTGCGGGGAAGGGGCTGCGGAGCAGAGCCCGGCCGAGCCCCCGGGCAGGCAGGTACGGGGGGAGCTGTGGATGGAGGGGGGGGGAAATTGGGTGCAGGTGCACCCCAACCCCTGCACGGGGGTGTAGGGGGGAGGTGTGGCTCCCCCCCCGATGCCCACACGGGTGTTTCAGGAGCCGCCGGGGGCTGCGGTGCCCACCCTGCCACCCCCCAGCCACGGCCAAGCCGACACCTCCCGGCCCATCAAGGAAGGTAGGGCCGGCTGCGACCCCCCCGCCGTGGGCACGGCCCCGCCCCGGGGGGGTCAGGGATGCTGCACCCCCTCCCCTTCTCGGGGTGCTGGGTAAGGGGTTGACATGCAGAGGGCGGCGTGGGCGACCCTGACCGTGTTCCCCCCCCGAGCAGAGAGCCCCGAGGGGGGGCCGCCGTCGCCGGGGCAGCCCCCGGCGCGGGGGGCCGTGCAGACCACCACCCTGTGCGACCTGTTGGCCTCCACCGCCGTGAAGCTGTGCCTGGGGCAGGACGGGGTGCGCATGGCCTTCGCCCCCGTGGTGCCCACCCTGCCCAGCGTGAGTCCCGGGGCGACCAGGGCACCCCCTCCCGTGCTGCCCACCCCGCCTTGGGTGGGCGGGGGGGACTGAGGGGCTCTCCAATTGCATCCCCCCCCCTTCCAGGACAACCGCCTGACCAGCATCCTGGACAGCATCATCGCCCACGTGGTGGAGAGGAAGATCCAGGAGAGGCAGGCGGGGGGCGAGCTGAGCCCGCCCAGCCCCCCCGAGCCCCCCGTGTCCCACTGCGTCCTGGAGCCCAGCGGGCTGCTCTGGCTGCACGACCCCGGCCATGCCAGCAACTACAAACTCTTCCAGGAGCACTGGCAGCAGGGCCAGGTGAGCCCCCCATCCCTGGGGGGGGTTTGGGGACACATGGGACCACCCCCCCCCAGCCCCGCTGAGCCCCGGCTGCCCTGGCAGCCCGTGCTGGTTTCAGGGCTGCAGAAGAGGCTGGAGGGGCGGCTCTGGGGGCCGGAGTCATTCCGCCCACCCCGGGGGGAGCAGGAGGTGGAGGCAGTGAACCTGCGGGCGCCGGCGAGCCCCGTCCGCCTGAGCAGCCGGGACTTCTGGGATGGCTTCGCTGCCAGCGAGGGTGAGCGGGGCCATGAGTCTGTGGGGTGCCCAGGGTGATTTTGGGGTGAGGTGTGGGGGGAGCCGGGGCCATGAGTCTGTGGGGTGCCCGGGGTGATTTTGGGGCGAGGTGTGAGGGGAGCCAGGCTGTGCCCCCCCTCCCTCCATCCCCGTGCGTGATGCCGGGCTCCCTCCCACAGCATCCCTGGAGCGGGAACAGGGCGCTGGGGACTTGCTGAAGCTGGAGAGTGGCTTTGGGGACATGGAGCTGAGCCGGTAAGTGTTGGCAGAGGGTGGGTTCCCCCCTCCCTGACCTCCCCATGGCAGTGCTGGGGGCAGCGGGGCGGCTCTGCCCTCGCCTGTACCTTGGTGCCCCGGTGTCAAACACCCGCCCTGTGCCACAGGACCACCAACCTGCGTGCCAGCCTGCCCCTGCCCGAGTACTGCGGGGCCAGCGGCCGCCTCAACCTGGCCACCCACCTGCGGGGCCAGCGGGCTCGGCGCTGGCTGCGCCCACGCATCTGTGCAGCCTATGGTGAGCGTGGTACGGGGGCTTTGGGGGGCACCTGGGCCCCACCCTTCCCACGGGGATGCTCGACGCTCACCCAGCGCCCCGCTCCCACTTCCAGGTGTGCGCCCGCGGGACCGGAACGTCGGGACCAAAAACCTGGCGGTGGAAGCAGCCGATTCCATCAACATCCTGGTTCACGCCGCGGCGGCACCGCGGGGTACGGGGGGAGCACTGGAGGTCCCCCCACACCGCCCCCTCCCCCCTGAGCCCTCCCTGAGCCCCCCCTCTGCCCGCAGAGGTGCTCCTGCCCGGCGACACGGATGACATGGATGCGGCGCTGAGGGAGCGGCTCAAGGACAGCGGCGGCCGGCCCGGGGCACTGTGGCACATCTTCCGTGCCGAGGACGCCGCCCGGATCCGGGATTTCCTGAGGAAGGCGAGTCCTGGGGCAACCAGGGCACCCCCTCCCGTGTTGCCCACCCCCCTCTTGGGTGGTGCTGTTGGATCATCCCTGACCCTGGTGGGATGCCGGGGGGATGAAGGGAGACCCCGAGATGGGGGCTTGTGGTGCCACTGGAGCATCCCTTGTCCCGCTCCGGCCCCCCCTTCCATCTCCGCTCACCCCTGGCACCCCACAGGCATCCGAGGAGCCGGGGCAGGAGGGGGCGGCCACGGGGGAGCCCCCCGGGCACTCCCTGGACCCCCCCGGGCGTTACTTGGACGCGGCGCTGAGGAGGCGGCTGCGGGAGGAGTGCGGGGTGAGCGGCTGGACCCTCCTCCAGTGCCTGGGGGACGCCGTGCTGGTCCCTGCGGGGGCTCCCCACCAGGTAGGCAGCCCCAAATCCCCTCCAGGGGGGAACTGTGCCACCCCCCCATGAGGAAACCAAGGCAGGGCAAGCCCCTGATGCCCCCCTGATGTAGGTGCAGACTCTCACGGGCACCATCAGCGTGGAGCAGCGGTTCCTGTCCCCGGAGAGCTCCGCCCGCCTCCGGCTGCTCGGCCCCGATCCCGCCGGGACCACGGGCCAGCTCCACGCCCAGGTGGGTGGTCTGGGGGGTGGGTGTGTGTGTGTGGGGGGGTCCCGGTGGGGGGTGAGTGGTGCTGACTCCCCCTCTTTGCACCCCCTGCAGCTGGATGGGATGATCTTCGCCGCCGTGCGGGAGGCGCTGGGGGTCCTGCGGGGCTGCAAGTGAGCCCGTGGAACGCTGGAAGGACGCTCTGACAAGTCTGGGATGGGGGCTGGACGTGGGCCTGGACCCCCGGGGAGCCAGGAGCGGGCGCCTCCAGCTCGGTGCTTTGCTCCAGGATCTCCTAGGAAGGCTCGGGGCAGGAGGAATAAAGTGTCCACAGTGTGCTGGGAGCACTGGCACCACCAGCATTGCCTCGGGGTCTGCCTTCATCCCTTTTCTTTCTCACTGGGGTCAGGGATGCTCTGGGAGCACTGCCTTGGTGTCTCCTTTCATCCCCCATCCCTTCCATCACAGTCAGGGATGACCCAGTGGCACCACCAGCATCTGCCCTGGCATCTCCCTTCGTCCACTGTCTGTCCCACTGGGGTCGGGGATATTCCAGTGGCACCACCAGCATCTCCCTTCCATCCCACTGGGGTCAGGGGTGTTCCAGTGGCATCACCAATACCTGCCCTGGTGTCTCCCACTCTCCCATCAGCGTCAGGAGTGATCCTATGGCACCACCAGCACCCGCCTTGGGGTCTCCATTCATCCCCCCTCCATCCCAACGAGGTCAGGGATGCTCCGGAGGCATCACCAGCAACTCCCTTGGCACCTCCTGCCATCCCATCAGGGTCAGGGGTGCTCTGGTAGCATCACCAGCATCCACCTTGGCATCCCCTTCATATCTCCTCCCATCGGGGTCAGGGATGCTCTCATGGCACCACCAGCATCCATCTCGGGGTCTCCCTTCATCCCCCCTCCATCCCATCGGGGTCAGGGATGTTCCAGTGGCACCACCAGCATATCCCTTCAATCCCAACGAGGTCAGGGATGCTCCCAGTGGCACCACCAGCATCCCCCCACCCCATCCCATCAGGGTCACTTTGGCATCTCCCCTCATTCTCCTCCATCCCACTGGGATCAGGGAAGCTGAAACAGCATCGGGCAACTAGCATGGGGCAATTAATTAGCACCGCACAATTAATCAGCATCGGGCAATGGGTATCATGGAGTGCAGTGGGCACCGTGCGATGACCACCGTGCGATGACCAGCGTGTAATTAGCACCGCCTAGTTAATTAGCACGACGCCACGCGCTCGCGCTGCCCCTTTAAGGCCAAGCCCCGCCCAGCGGGAGCGACAGCAGGATTAGCCAATAGAAATCGAGGAGCCGCGGCGGCGCGGCCAATGGGCGGCGAGGGGGTGGGCGGGCCCCGCGCGGCGGAGCCCCCGGCGCGGTGAGTGCGCGGCGCATGCGCGGGGCGGGGGGGGCTGCGGGGTCCCTGCGCCCTCCCCGCGACCCCCGGACCCTCCCCCGCGACCCCCGGCTCGCTCCCGCCGCACCCGCAGCCCCGCAAACCCTCCCCTGCTGCAGCCTGCAGCCCCTCGGAGCCTCCCCCTATTGCAGCCCACCCCGAAACATCGTGCGCGTTGCACCCTGCAGCCACCCCCCCGACCCTGATTGCAACCCCCCCGAAACCATTCGCTTGTTGCAGCCCCCCCAAAAACATCCTCCCCCTTTGCACCCTGCAACCCTCCCGGACCCTCCCTCTGTTGTAGCCTCCCCTGCAGCCTCCCCAAAACATCCTCCCCGTTGCACCCTGCAGCTCCCCCAAAGCCTTATTGCAACCCCCAGACCCTGATTGCAACCCCGCCCCCCGAGCCCTCCCTCTGTTGCAGCCCCCCCAAAACCTCCCCCCCCTTGCAACCTGCCCCCCCCCCACCCCCTTATTGCAGCCCCCCCAAACATCCTCCCTCATTGCACCCTGCAGCCCCTCAAACTCTTCTCCTATTGCAGCCCCCTCAAACCCTTATTGCAGCCCCCTCAAACCCTTATTGCAGCCCCCTAAACCTTCCCCTATAGCCCCCTAGCGCATCCCCCAGCCCCTCCTGCTCCCCCCCATTGCACCCTGCAGCCCAGCTCGCCCCCCTGCCCCCCGCTGCCCCCCACCCCATTCCCATTCCCCCCAGACTGGGACCAGCCCTCTCCCCTCAGTGCCCTGCAGTCTCGCCCGCCCTGGGACCCCCAGTCCCCTCCCAGTTCCAGCCCCCCTGG